CATGAGTCGATTTATTGAGAAGCAAGGAACGTATTCTGAAGCAGGGAATGATGCATTTTGATTCACGAGTCGATGTATTCTGAAGCAAAAATCCCTTCATATTAAAACAAGAATCAGTGAGTGTTTTTCTTCCTCATACAGTAATTAACACGTTCATTAAAACACTATATAAAACAGAATGACAAGATCCACTGTATTTCTTTCGTATGTCTGTATGTGTATAGGTAATCCTTGTATGTTTTTATCACAAATACGTATTAGTGTATGATACATAGATAAAGTATTCTTAGTGTATGGTGTATGACTGGGGCTGACAGATGTTGTAGAGAGGAACAGATTCTCTTTCATTAGCTGTCAATCTGTCTGTCTGTCTTAAACGCTGTCTGTCTGTCTGCCTTTCCATACTATACCGTCCCTCGTGCTACATGATAAGGTGACGACACACACAAACACACAAACATAAACAACAACAAACACTGAAACATAAACAACAAACAAACAAAACTCAACATACAATAAACGAAAAAACAAACAAATACACTGAAACAAACATAAAACAAACAAATACACTGAAACAAACATAAAACAAACAAATACACTGAAACAAACATAAAACAAACAAATACACTGAAACAAACATAAAACAAACAAATACACTGAAACAAACATAAAACAAACAAATACACTGAAACAAACATAAAACAAACAAATACACTGAAACAAACATAAAACAAACAAATACACTGAAACAAACATAAAACAAACAAATACACTGAAACAAACATAAAACAAACAAATACACTGAAACAAACATAAAACAAACAAATACACTGAAACAAACATAAAACAAACAAATACACTGAAACAAACATAAAACAAACACAAGTGGACTCTAATCTCACCACGTATTACAACACGGATGAAATAACAATCTGGCTTAAGCCCCCCTAAAGCCAGTGATTATACAGTACACCCCCCCCCCAAAAAAACACCCAAATGAGTATACTGACACACACACACACACACACACACACACACACACACAAAACCCGATGTTGTAGAGCAATTACTAGGTGTGTGTGTGTGTGTGTGTGTGTGTGTGTGTGTGTGTCATCTCACTTCTTTTCATCAAGGACAGAAACGGTAACACCCCACCCTAACTAACCCTAACTTAACCTAACATTAACCTAACCTAACATTAACCCAACCTAACCTAACATTAACCTAACCTAACATTAACCTAACCTAACATTAACCTAACCTAACATTAACCTAACCTAACATTAACCTAACCTAACATTAACCTAACCTAACATTAACCTAACTTAACCTAACATTAACCTAACCTAACATTAACCAAACCTTTTTGTTCAAATGCTCCATATAATTATCCCAGTCCATTCTCATCACTTGTGTAGCTTCACTTTAATTGACCTCTGTTCCTGTTAATTCCTGTCATTCAATCCTATACGAGTACCCAACCATGATGTAGTTAGGATTATACATTTCAATCCCCCTCAAATTCTACCTTGATCTGTTATACAATATTACTCCCTTCACGATGTAAATCCTATTCTCTTTAACTTCCTAAACTCTGGAATTGTTGTTATAGTCTCAATTTGAACCTCTTTGCTGGTGGTGGTGGTGGTGATGGTGGTGGTCTGTGGTGATGGTGGTGGTCTGTGGTGATGGTGGTGGTGGTGGTGGTGGTGGTGGTTGTCAATATATAGTGTATAACCTGGTAGCCTGATTTAATGTATTAGTTTTATACAGATGAAGAATAATATTTTACACTTTGAATGATCTGACCTAATTAGTTGTTGACCTTTTTTTTAAGTGATATGGTAAATTCTCCTCATAACACGTCTAAACTCTCAGATCCAACAAGGTCACGTACTGTCACCTATGGTAGTTATAGCTCACAGGATATAATAAAATACACCTTAGACCTCACACTTAACCTTAACCTAACCTAACCTGACCTAACATGACCTGACCTAACCTAACCTGACCTAACCCTAACCTGACCTAACATGACCTAACCTAACCTAACCTGACCTAACATGACCTAACCTATCCTAACCTCACCTCAACTAACCTAACCTAAGTAACTCAAAACCAAAACACATCGACTTAGATCAAAGAAACGCATCCAGATTTAATAATTATGAAAAAAAAAACGATAAGTAAAATTAAAACACATTACCAACACACAAACACACATACCATGGTTGTTATAAGATACACACATCACCGAGGAGATAACAGTCATAACAGAAGATATAACATACACGTAATTAATACAGACATAACGTAACTATGATAACAATTTTAATTTATTTTCATGTATTTGGTAATTTATGATAACCTTTTTTTTCTGGTTAATAAAATAATTAGGTTTTTATTTGTTTGTGTGTTTATTTGTTTCGTTATTTCCCCTATTTAGTTATTTCTTTATTAGTATTTTATTATATATTTATAACATTATTTAATCCACGCAACAAAAAATTTACTAAATAAATTCCTCCGTAAATTCTATTAATCCCTGGAACAAATTCTTCAATATCACGTATACATGAACGCGACTGCCGAGGACACACTGAAATTAGGACAAAAATATGAATCCAGCATAAAGGCAGCCAATCATAATTAACCGATACACCATAGCGCGATCCCATTGGCTGGCATGTTGGTGTTCTTTTAACTTATTCGGGCGCTCGGAAATTTTTTTGAGGTAATTCGGCGATAAATTTGGGGTAAAATATTGGTACATAAGAATGAATTATTTTTATGTTGTTTACATCAGCGGCAGCGTGACAGGTCGTTGCGGTCACTGTTATTATTGTTTGTTTTCTTTTGTTTACCGTGTTATTGTTTGCTAATGATAGTTACTTATATTTTTATACGTTGTTTGTTAATAAAAACTCCAGAATTTTGTCTTTTTTTTTTAAACATTATTTCATCATTGCTTATAAAAACCTCCTTTTGTAAAATTGACCTCAACAAGAAATAACAGATAAACATTTTCAGTTAAGTTGACCTAAATATAAACATAAACAAAATATAAAAACAAAAATATAAAAACCAGGTCATATGTTGATTAAATAAACATTAAACTGAAAAAAAAAGAATTGTGCATAATATAATTTCTTAAAAAGTCAACACTGTCTCTTATTTTCTCTGCAAATAAACATTGTGTCGGTGGTACGACTTTTTTTTTACACCAACACGACCCAAAAAAATAAAAAATAAATAAAAACAGCAATGCCATGAACGACTTGTTGACTTTGTGTTGAAGAGACATGACCTCTGACCTCTGACTAGCCTGGGTTAGGATAGGTTGGGATGGTTAAGGTGTGTGTGTGTGTGTGTATGTACGCGCGTCTGTGTGTGTGTGTGCGCTTCTGTATGTGTGTGCGCCTCTGTGTGTGTGTACGTGTACCTGTAGTGTGTATATATGTGTGTGTGTGTGTATAAATAAACACACACATACAACCATTACACACACACACACACACACACACACACACACACATCAACACACTTTTTTTATCCCATTTTAGAAGACAAAGTTTTTTACTCACTATAGAACGTAAACATACAGACATAGACAGACATACAGACATAGACAGACATACAGACACTGACAGACATACAGACGGACGGACGGACGGACGGACGGACGGTACGGATGGTCGTATATGTTGCTTTTGTGAAGTATTTTTATCCTTGTGAGTCTATTGTGTAAGGACATAAGCCTCCCCCCCCCCTACATGTACTCACACGTCCTCTTGTATAGTGAACAACATAAAGCCTCACCATCACCACCTGTCTGTCTGTCTGTCTGTGTTTTAGGTTGCCTGTCTGTCTGTCTGTCTGTCTGTCTGTCTGTGTTTTAGGTTGTCTCACTGTCTCGGTCTTTCAATACCTATCGGTCTGTCTTTTAGTGTGTGTGTATGTGTGTGTGTGTGTGTGTGTGTGTGTGTGTGTGTGTGTGTGTGTGTGTTAATTCAACAGGACCTTCACTAGTTTCTTCTTCACTGTTGATTCTTTGAGCAGTTGTCATTGTCAGTGGCTTTACCCAACTGTTGCTTCACTATCAATGACGTCATCATTACTATCTTCACTATCAATGACGTCACCATCACTATCCTCACTACCATCACCACTTTCACCATCACAACCATTATTATATTTACCATCAGCATTTTCACTATTACTCTATCATCACCATCACTAACTTCACCATCTGCAGCTTCATTAACTTCACCATCTGCAGCTTCATTAACTTCACCATCTGCAGCTTCATTAACTTCAACATCTGCAGCTTCATTAACTTCACCATCTGCAGCTTCATTAACTTCAACATCTGCAGCTTCATTAACTTCACCATCTGCAGCTTCATTAACTTCACCATCTGCAGCTTCATTAACTTCACCATCTGCAGCTTCATTAACTTCACCATCTGCAGCTTCATTAACTTCACATCTGCAGCTTCATTAACTTCACCATCTGCAGCTTCATTAACTTCTGCACCAACTTCACCAACTGCAGCATCATTAACTTCACCATCTGCAGCTTCATTAACTTCACCATCTGCAGCTTCATTAACTTCACCATCTGCAGCTTCATTAACTTCTTCACCATCTGCTTCATTAACTTCACCATATGCAGCTTCATTAACTTCACCATCTGCAGCTTCATTAACTTCACCATCTGCAGCTTCATTAACTTCACCATCTGCAGCTACATTAACTTCACCATCTGCAGCTTCATTAACTTCACCATCTGCAGCTTCATTAACTTCACCATCTGCAGCTTCATTAACTTCACCATCTGCAGCTTCATTAACTTCACCATCTGCAGCTTCATTAACTTCAACATCTAAGGTAAAAACCAAAGATCTGTCTCTCGTGTAAACTCGGTTAAGGTAAACTAGCGCTCGTCTCTCCCTTACATATAATTAAAACCAAAACTAAAAACTTAATTCTCCTTTACAGATGGGCAAGAGCAGTGACCGGAAAGTGACATTAAAGGAAGTGTCACTCAAGACCTCTGGGAAGTACAAGTGTGAGGTATCTGCTGAATCGCCCTCATTCCACACTGACTCAGGGGTGGGAGAGCTGCTGGTTGTCCGTAAGTCATCCTACATCGTTTAACGTCTTCCGCTTGTTATTACGATTAACTAATTCGTTTTAAGTTTTTATTTCATATCGTTTTCATGGATCATCTTTCTTTGTTAATATCAGTGAGGTTTTGTTTTTTTGTAAAGGAGTTTTTTGGCCTGGAGGTCTTCGGAAACTTTTCATACGTTAAGACTGTCGTATAGGTTGTGAAAGTTATCGTATGTAATGTTTACACTTGGTGATTATCCATGAATTCAGTTTTTTTTTGAGGGGGGGTAAATTTGGGTAAATATTGTTATTTTTATTATTATTGATAATTTGTAATATCTTACGTTTGAAAGTTCTATATTTTTATTTTTTTTCAGCTTTAGCAACAAGTCCATGCCTTAGAAAGTTCAGATAACAGTATTCAACTATACCTAACCATCACGATAAAAAGTACTAATTCCCTTTACCAATGTCTTTTCCTTATGTTCATCCATACTGAACTTTCACCCAAATTCCTGTTCAAAATGAAGTTCAATAGTGGCAATAACTCCACCGTTGATATCACTTCACGTTCGAAAGTTCAAATGTCTTTACCCTCCCCTCACCTACCACCCTCCCCCCTTCACCTCCCAGCAAGTGTTGAGCTCTGCCGTTACTTGTGTCAGGCAGCAGGGCACAGGGAGTGAACTGAGCTTTCATATTTGCCTTTGATGTATGATTGCTCGCACCCCCTCTCGCAACTTTGCAGCATTTTCAATATTTTTATTTTATTTCAGACACATACATGAATGCACAACACACACACACACACCAACCAAAAACAAAATGCCTAACGATTCAAACTCTCAAAACACGAGAGAGGAAAATGTCAACACGTAAACCTAACCTAACCAAAACCTTTACCTTACCTACTGACACACAACCGATTAGTTTCCTTGTGTACATTCCAATCTATTCCACTCTTGTGATCTCACGAGCTGTTGAACTCCCACTGTAACTTCCTTAATTAATCACGAGTTATATACCAGGAACTTGTAAACCAATATACCGGTATAAATCGTTCATAAACCTATAAAGCCTTCCCTGGGTCACTGTTTAAACCAATAATTCGTTTTAATTTCAACACCATAAGAGGTTTAATTTTTCACACACTAATCCCTGTAATCTCGAGTCTTATCTACCGGTAATCCCTGTAATCTCGTCTTATCTACCGGTAATCCCTGTAATCTCGAGTCTTATCTACCGGTAATCCCTGTAATCTCGTCTTATCTACCGGTAATCCCTGTAATCTCGTCTTATCTACCGGTAATCCCTGTAATCTCGAGTCTTATCTACCGGTAATCCCTGTAATCTCGAGTCTTATCTACCGGTAATCCCTGTAATCTCAAGTCTTATCTACCGGTAATCCCTGTAATCTCAAGTCTTATATACCGGTAATCCCTGTAATCTCATCTTATCTACCGGTAATCCCAATGCTATAAATCCCCCCCCTCTATATTTTTTACACCAGTAGTCTCTAGGACATAATCTCCTGATATGAGTAATCCTTCCATTAATTCTTTCACACACACACATTTTTCTCTCAGTAACCAACAGATGTGAAATATATACATGGGGACACTCCTCCCTCTCTCTCCTCACTCACTCCCCCTCTCTCTCACTCCCTCTCTCTCTCTCACTCCCTCTCTCACCCCCCCTCTCACTCCCTCTCCCCTCTCTCTCACTCACACGATAACTGAAAGGTGGCCAGAAAGATTCATGTGTGCACTTTTCACAACTACCACCCAACTCCCCTCCGTCACCACAAGTTCGAGAGACCAACTTCGGTCTTTATTTGGTCGGTCGAGAGTTATAGGTCTCAGTGGGAGGCCAAAAAAAATATATTGGACCGAATGGCAGGCAGGTATAACAGCTGCTGCCACCACCCACCTATACCAACGGGTGGGTGTGTGGGTGGTGAAGAGTGGGTGGGTGGGGGTGTGTAAAGGGGGGTGGCGGTGGGTAGGTGGACGGGGTGTGGGGTTAGGTATGTATGTATGTATATATGTATGTATGTATGTATGTATGTATGTATGTATGTATGTATGTATGTATGTATGTATGTATGTATGTATGTAATTACAATATAAACATAGAAGCAGTTCACAGCGAAACAAATGAAAAAAAAAGAAGGTAACACAACTATTGTTAAAAATGCGATGGAGTTTTTAATTAAAAGGGATTAATAACTGGCGGGGTCTAACACACACACACACACACACACACACACACACACACACACACACACACACACACACACACACGAGCCGGCCTGGCAGGCAAACATATCAGCTCAGTGTTAAATAATGAAAAGGAAAAATCCACTTATAACACACACACACACACACACACAGACGTACATACACACACATCTATTTAACACACACACACATACATTTACATACATACATACATACATACATACATACTCCACTAAAATACCAAGAGTGACTATCTACATACATACATACTGTACATCGCAATAAAATTAGTCTTTTCTTTTACCTGCGTCAGTCAGCTCAATGAATTCTAATCCTTGACTGAACGATTATATATCCTAATACGACGACAACAACCTTCCTGGGATTAAAAAATATAAATACTCGCCTTTGGTATAATGTTAATCAAGATCATCCTAGGAGAAAAAAATACTGTTACGACAACCTTCCTGGGATAAAAATTGATGTTCGTGTTGGTGTATTATGTTAATCAAGATCATCCTGGGAATAAAACTTGATTATTTATATTTCGTTTAATTTTCACACCGCACTGAAGAGAAAAATGAAAGAGGTGTCTCATTAAATTCTATTGTAAATCGGTAGGAAAGACAGAGCTATATATTGACTTGAACACAGATAGACAGACAGACAGAGACACAGACAAACCGGAAAAAAATAGAAAATGAGAAAAAAAAAAAAAAAAAAAAAAAAAATAATAATTTAATAATAATAATAATAATAATAATTTAATAATAATAATAATAATAATAATAATAATAATAATAATAATAACAATAATAAATACACGAAATGAATAATAAACTAGACAATGAAAATAATAAACGATAAACGATCAAGAAAACACCGGATAAATTGAGGAGAAATGTCTCAATGAAACTTCTACTTAACGGACTATATAGAGAAGGAAGTCCGTTATATAGAGGAGTCCGTTATATGGCGAGAGAATTCCTTTATATGAAGATAATTCCGTTATATGGGGAAAAAAGTCCGTTATATAGAGATTAGACCGTTATATAGAGAAAAGTCCGTTATATGGAGGGAAAAGTCCGATATATGAAGAGGAAAGTCCGTTATATAGAGAGGAGTCCGTTATATAGAGAGGAGAGTCCGTTATATAGAAGGAAAAGTCCGTTATATGAAGAGGAAAGTCCGTTATATAGAGAGGAGTCCGTTATATGGAGGGAAAAGTCTGTTATATAAAGAGGAAAGTCCGTTATATAGAGAGGAGTCCGTTATATGGAGGGTCTTCACTATCCCATGAACGGAAGGGTTGCCACAGCCAGGGAGATTAACAATTGTAAAATATTACGTCCTAATTTGTTTTCTCACTTAATATTAGTTTGTTTATGGGTAAATACTCTCTCTCTCTCTCTCTCTCTACCCCCCTGCACCGCCAATCCTCTCCTCTCCCTCCCCATTACTCCCCCTTTAACCCTCTCAACCTTATTTACAAAGCTTTTTCGACCCAACCATAACAACAACAACAGTCGACACCTCTTCCTCCTCCCTCCCCTATCCCCTCCCCAAACCCTGAAACCAAAAATATCCTCTGGTGATTAAAAAATAGGGCACGCTTATTACAAACCCTAAAGCAGATAGCCCTTACGGAATTAATTACTGAGAGGCTGACCCCTAGTGGCCCTGGGGACGGGACTTTCCCCGGTATATATTGGTGCTGACGGGGAAATCCCCTCGCGGACCCCTGAGGTGTCGCGCACAGGTAATGGACTAAAGATTTTCCACGCTACAGTTTTGTTGGGGGAGAGAGAGAGAGAGAGAGAGAGAGAGAGAGAGAGAGAGAGAGAGAGAGAGAGAGAGAGAGAGAGAGAGAGAGGGAGAGAGAGAGAGTGTGTGTGTGTGTGTGTGTGTGTGTGTGTGTGTGTGTGTGTACAGGTGTGTGTGTGTGTGTGTGTATGTACAGGTGTGTGTGTGTGTGTGTATGTACAGGTGAGTGTGTGTACAGGTGTGTGTGTGTGTGTGTGTGTGTGTGTGTGTGTGTGTGTGTGTGTGTGTGTGTGTGTATAGGTGTGTGTGTGTGTATGTACAGGTGTGTGTGTGTGTGTGTGTGTGTGTGTGTGTGTGTGTGTGTGTGTGTGTGTGTATGTACAGGTGAGTGTGTACAGGTGTGTGTGTGTGTGTGTGTGTGTGTGTGTGTGTGTATGTAGGTGTGTGTGTGTATGTACAGGTGTGTGTGTGTGTGTATACAGGTGTGTGTGTGTGTGTGTATGTACAGGTGAGTGTGTATGTACAGGTGTGTGTGTGTGTGTGTATGTACAGGTGTGTGTGTGTGTGTGTGTGTATGTACAGGTGAGTGTGTGTACAGGTGTGTGTGTGTGTGTGTGTGTGTGTGTGAGGGTGGGGCCGCGTCAAAACACCTGCCATAATTAATAAACCGTGTGGCAGGTAATGAGGCAATTAAGAGGTCGTGTGATGAAAATTACTTCTGAATTAATGAGACTTTTGGATTAATTTATTTTTTGGGAATTCAATTACGACTTGAGGAAAAATTAATGATTTCTTTAAGACTCTGATGAAGATTCTTTGTGATTTTAAGACTTTGTTGACAAATAATGACTCAATTTAGACTTTGGGTGAAAAATATTATTGCTTCTTTTAATTGTAATTTGTTTTCTAATTTAAGACTTTTTCTCCAGAGTTAAGACTATGCATTAAAAATCTCATTCACTTAGGATATTTGAGTTCAATTAAGACTTTTTTTTAATCCAACTTAGACTCCTCATTCAGTTCAGACTTACGATAATTTTATATAGTCTTAAGATTCACTTATGATTTGTTTGTGGTGATGAGGTGTAGAAAGTGTAAGGAGTGAGGCAAGAATTGTATCTTTAAACACACACACACACACACACACACACACACACACACACACACACACACACACCCAGTTAACCAAGCATAAGAGACACCCTCGTTTCCTGTCATGATCGTTGTTCATCCTGGATTATATAAGAGAAAAAGTCTAGTTATTACAGGTAGGGAAGATTGAAGGTTCTTGTTATGGGAGGTAATGGTATTTTTTTTCCCAGGATGGTGTACGGGTAGAAGAAATTTTCGGATAGCCTGGATAATGTATAGGTGGAATGGACGAGTGATGGTGGTGCTCAGAGGGGTGGTGGTGGTGATAGTTGTAGTGGTAGTGGTAGTGGTGGTAATGGTGATAGTTGTAGTTGTAGTGGTAGTGGTGGTAATGGTGATAGTTGTAGTTGTAGTGGTAATGGTGGTTGTGGTAGTGGTGGTGGTGGTGGTGATAGTGGTAGTGGTGGTAATGGTGATAGTTGTAGTGGTAGTGGTAGTGGTGGTAATGGTGATAGTTGTAGTGGTAGTGTTAATGGTGGTTGTGGTAGTTGTAGTGATAGTGGTGGTTGTGGTAGTGGTAATGGTTGTTGTAGTAGTGGTAACTAAATTGTCAGTGTTATTCCTGGACAAATGTTATATAACTGTGTCTTCTTCTTTTTCTTTTTCTTCTTCTATTATTATTTGTATAAGCATTTGAATACAAAGAAAGGAAATAAATAAATGTGTGTGTGTGTGTATGCGTGTGTGTGTGTGTGTGTGTGCGTGTGTGTGTGTGTGTGTGTGTGTGTGTGTGTGTGTGTGTGTGTGTGTGTGTGTGTGTGTGTGTGTGTGTGTGTGTGTATACGTAAATATACACTAAAAATATATACTAATAAAAAATCAGCTATGTATGTAAGTCATCAATCTTACTTAATTGTTTATCTCTCTCTCTCTCTCTAACACAACATCACCAGCCAAAGGGAATAATTATTTTTACCCTTCCAAATATGATAATAATAATAATCACATTAATATAATTCTCATTACTGCCCAAAACACTAATGTATTACACTCTATAACAGATGGGTATTGGTTAGGTTAGGTTAGGTTAGGTTAGGTTAGGTTAGGTTATGGTTAGGTTAGGTTAGGCTAGGTTAGGTTAGGTTAGGTTAGGTTAGGTTAGGTTAGGTTAGGTTAGGTTATGGTTAGGTTAGGTTATGGTTAATAATTCACAATATGTAAATGAAAGTTTTTTTGGGGTGGAATAAACATTTTGTAAATACACTGACCAAAGTATTTTATGATAATGTTTTCAGCGAGAGAGAATGTTGGCTGTCAAATTAGCTCACTAGTTTTATTTTATTTATTTATATAAATTTGGAAATATTTTAATATTTATTGGAATTTATAATGGTTACTCTGTGTGTGTGTGTGTGTGTGTGCGTGTGTGTGTGTGTGTGTGTGTGTGTGTGTGTGTTGTTCTTCATATACAATTCCTCCTCGATAGAATTTTTTTAGGTCCTTTAATTATTTGTGTTTCTAAAGTTTATTGTTATTATTATTATTACTATTACTATCATCATCATCATTATAATCACCCCCTTCGCTGCTCACCTCACCCCCACATAATCCCTCCCCTCCCCCCCCAGACACCCCGGAGAGTGACCCTCACATCTCTGGTACCCGGAACAAGTACCATGTTGGGGATGTGGTCCAAGTCAACTGTACCTCTTCACCCTCCAAGCCCGCCGCCGCCCTCATGTGGTACATTAACGACAAACAGGTGAGTACCTAACCCAGGAGACGGTGATGGCGCCCTGCAGTAGCTCCTCCTGCAGGTATAATGGTTCTCTCGGGAGCACCATTACCCAACACCAATATGGACAGACATCACCAACTTCGGACATAGACTTTAGCTCATTATTTGGTCATACGCCGCGAGGAGGGGAGGAGGGGAGGCAGGAGAGGGGGGAGGAGGGGAGGGGCAGGAGAGGGGAGGGAGGGGGAGGAGGGGAGGGGGGAGGAGAGGGGGGAGGAGGGGGAGGAGGGGAGGAGGGTAGGAGGAGAGGGGGAGGAGGGAGGGGGAGGGAGGGGAGGAGAGAGCCTTATTAAGGATCTCCACAGGCTTCTCCATCACCAGGGAGGGATGATGAAGCCCAATATGAGAGACACCCTTCCCCTCCCTCCTTTGCCGGATGGAGGGACAGGGGAAGAAGGAGGAGGGGGAGAGAAGAAGTGTAAGGAAGGAGGAGGGAGGAAGGAAGGAGGAGGAGGAGGCGGGGAAGAAAGGGGGAGTAGGAGAGTAAGAAGGGAGGGTGAGGGAAGGAAGGAAGGGTGAAGGGTGTTGAGATTAATAAGAGAGGAGGGTGTGGGAGGACTGAGAACCAGGGGTCAACACACACACACACACACACACACACACACACACACACACACACACACACACACACACACCACCAATGACGTCACCTGTTTCAACCCCTGACAGTGCAAACAACAAGACTGTCAATGTAAACACAAACTGACAAAATGTAAACACAAACAAAAGACCACATTAAACAAAACAGTGGTTTCCATATGACTACAGTTTATTACACGGGCCTACACGTATAAATCTGTGTAAACACAACACACAAACACCGATTTAGGAAACTGATCAAAGGTTGTGTGTGTGTGTGTGTGTGTGTGTGTGTGTGTGTGTGTGTGTGTGTGTGTGTCGTCAACCTCAATATAATTATCTAACGAAAATGTATTTGGTTACGGAAATAATAAAAGAAACAACGTCCAATTAATGATAAAACGAGAGAGAGAGAGAGAGAGAGAGGAGGGGGGGGGGGGTAGGTACAGACAGGTCGACAAATATACAGGAAAAAGTCAAACAAACAAACTTACATACAGGAATAGACAGATCGTCAAGTAGAGTAGAAGAAGAAGGAGAAGAAGAAGAAGAAGGAGAAGAAGAAGAAGAAGAAGAAGAATTTTACACTGGGCGGAAACAAGATTATAAAAAGTTTGAACTAAGTAGATTACGTGTGTGTGTGTGTGTGTGTGTGTGTGTGTGTGTGTGTGTGTGTGTGTGTGTGTGTGTGTGTGTGTGTGTGTGTGTGTGTGTGTGTGTGTGTGTGTGTGTGTGTGTGTGTGTGTGTGTGTGTGTGTGTGTGTGTGTGTGCGTGTGTGTAAAGAAAAATGAAGACTTTAATGAGTTTTAATTTTTTTCAAGGTCAGGTTAGGTTAGATTAGGATAGGTCAGGTCAGGTCACTGGTACTTGTTCTCCAGGGGATCAGGACTTATTATGAAGAACAACCACAGTATAACATTTGATGAACAGTTAATAATGTTCACCAGATTATATCACCAGTTCATAATGCACAAGCTTCTCCTCACTTGTCTGTTCTCACCAGGATACCTGATGTAATTACTGCAACCTGTTAATGAAGGTGTTTAAATTAATGACTGTTCTCTTCTTCTTCCCTCCCCCTCTTTTCATCCTTCCCTTCCTCCTCTTCCCTTCTTCCTCCCCATTCTCCCCTCACCCACCCTCCCCTTCTTCCTCCCCCTCCCTCTCTTATGCCCCTCTTACTCCTCCTGCACACCACCAGGCGGAGAGCGGCTCCTTGGTGGACTACGCCCCGGTACCCAACGGGGAAGGCCTCGAGACTTCAATCCTGGGGCTTCACTTCCGCGCCCGACCGAGTCACCTCCGCCAGGGTCACCTCAAACTCCGCTGCACCGCTACCATCGCCTCTGTCTACTTCCGCGAAAACACCATCTACGCCCGCGCCCACCTAACTCACCGCCGCGACCCGCTAGAGAGTCGCGGTATGTTTACGGGTCAGTATTATCACCAGGTAACTGCAGGTGAGGTCAAAGGTGATTACAGGTAGAACAAAAACATAATAAGTTTAAGTTTTATCTCTATATATCTGGTGTCATTTGTGTTGCAGGTGTGTCCTCGCCAGGTATAGCAGGTGTGGAGGTGGTGTTGGTAGTGTTGCTGGGTGTAGCGCTGGTGTTGCTGAGGTAACACTCGCCACCTGACCTCCCTCCTTCTCCACCCCCCAGCTGGCCCTCACACTCCTTCGGCAACGCTTCTCCCACACAGGTAAGGTGGACATACATACATACATACATACATACATACATACATACATACATACAGACAGACAGACAGACAGACAGACAGGCAGACAGACAGACAGGCAGACAGACAGACAGACATCACTAAATAGGAATAAAAAAAATCTACTTGGGGATAACTTTATAATATAATTTCTACAACTTTACGCCATCAAAGGATTAAACCATCACCATCAAAGGCTTAAACCATCACCATCAAAGGCTTAAACCATCACCATCAAAGGCTTAAAACCATCACCATCAAAGGCTTAAACCATCACCATCAAAGGCTTAAACCATCACCATCCCATCACCATCAAAGGCTTAAACCATCACCATCAAAGGCTTAAACCATCACCATCAAAGGCTTAAACCATCACCATCAAGGCTTAAACCATCACCATTAAACCATCATCAAAGGATTAAACCATCACCATCAAAGGCTTAAACCATCACCATCAAAGGCTTAAACCATCACCATCAAAGGCTTAAACCATCACCATCAAAGGCTTAAACCATCACCATCAAAGGCTTAAACCATCACCATCAAAGGCTTAAAACCATCACCATCAAAGGCTTAAACCACAGAAGGGGGAGGAGAGGTTAGGTTAGATTAAGACTTACTTGACTGAGAACTTACTACTATATTAAAAATAAGTCTTTGTTATGAAGATGCAGAACATTAAAGTCTGGGTCGCCGGCACGTTACACTAAAGTCTAAAGTCTTAAGCGCTCCACAGTTTCTTGTCGTTTGCATTATAAAGATGATGTGATATTTTCAGCAAGTTTATACTACAGGATGGTGAGCAGGGAGACCAACAGCCATTTACCACTATAAGAAGAACCTCACACTATAGCGAGTTAGGGTGTCGTAGCCTCACACTATAGCGAGTTAGGGTGTCGTAACCACATACTATAGCGAGTTAGGGTGTCGTAACCACATACTATAGCGAGTTAGGGTGTCGTAACCTCACACTATAGCGAGTTAGGGTGTCGTAACCACATACTATAGCGAGTTAGGGTGTCGTAGCCTCACACTATAGCGAGTTAGGGTGTCGTAACCTCACACTGTCGTAGCCTCACACTATAGCGAGTTAGGGTGTAGCCTCACACTATAGCGAGTTAGGGTGTCGTAACCTCACACTATAGCGAGTTAAGGTGTCGTAACCTCACACTATAGCGAGTTAGGGTGTCGTAACCTCACACTATAGTGAGTTAGGGTGTCGTAACCTCACACTATAGCGAGTTATTGTGGCGTAGCCTCACACTATACATAGTTAGTCAGTGGACAGACAGACAGACAGACAGACAGACAGATAGATAGATAGATAGATATTCAGTAAAATCGTCAGTGATACTTGTAATTTGATATTCATCTCTCTCTCTCTCTCACCAGTAGCATTACAGTAACCAATTATTCTCTCGTTACAGGTGTGTGTGTGTGTGTGTGTGTGTCCCTCACCTGCCGCCCCTCGCCACACCTCACCACTGCTCTACTCTGTGCCAAAAAAAATTAAAAATATATAACACTGCTTCGTCAACCTGAGAGTGCAACCCTGAAAAATGCAGTGAATTCTCTCTTGCCAATTGAGAGTGCAACTTGAAAATGCAACCTGGTAATACTTTAAGTTGAGAATGCAACTTAAAGACTTAACATTGGAAAAAAAAGCAACTTAAGTGTGTATTCTCAGAGTGAATGTTGATATGTGTAATTTTAAGTAAGTAGCCATTTGTGAAAATATTATACACAGAAATGGAACTTATTTAAGCCCTGAGCTGTGTACAATGGTTCGTTAAATGTTTGTGTTGTGACGACGAAGATAAATTTATTCTAAAAAACAACAACAAATTAATGAAGTTAACCATTGTGTTGAGTATTTGTTTTTGCAATATTTTACCACATCATTTTCTCCTGCAATATCACCTTTTGAGTGTTTGTATAACTAACTGAGAATGTATCTTGCAACACCACCTACATGATGCATTTGTCTTGCAAGATTACGAGTGTTGAGAATTTTTGTATTGCGATGCTATCTTAAATGAAAATGTCAATCTTGCAATATAATCATAATTGAGTATTTATCTTGCAATATCACCTTAGTTGATGTTTTTATTATGCAACATTATAATTTTCAACATTACTGATCAGCGGATGAGAAGAAAGAGATTATTTTATGATACGTAATATAAGGTGTCAGACTACAGGTTGTATAAGCTGAAACAGGTAGCTATAAGGTATGAGGCTACAGGTGATGGTATAAATAGAACCCAAGTAAAGTGACTTAACCCCTTTAGTTTGAGGTTTTAACCCTTTACATACGATCCACTCCGGGGTTATGTTGTCCACTCTCACGGGGTTAAACCAACTAACAAAGATTCATGGGGTACATAGATTACCTTGTTAATGTGCAACGAGAATGCTAATTGCAAGGTTAATCACATTCTGCAATTATTACCAAGAGAAGCAAGAGAAGGAGAACTATGTCTCTTGAGATAATGAAGGAGATAATGATGAAGAATTTAATGTTGCATGAGTTATTTTTTAATGTGCAATATTGCAAAAAACGTGATATTGCAAAAGTGTTAATTTTAAGGTGATATTGCAAGACATTTACTTAACGATTGATATTTTGCAAGATGTTTAACGAATAATTCTAGCAAGAAATTTAACGAATTGAACAAAAGTGATATCGCAAGGGAAATACTCAACCAACGTGAACAGTGACGTGAAGCCTTTAGTGTAAGGTCGTTGGCAGTGACGTTGGCAGTGACGTTGGCAGTGACGTTAGTGATGACGTATCTAGAGTGGCGTGATGCAGGGTAAAAAAAAGCCGATACTAGTGAACATTAATACCGATACCAACACCGATACGACTGTTTATATCGATACTAATGGGGATGCCGATAGCAGTACATACCTATATTGATACCGATAACCGATACCGATAAGTGCAGATACCGATACTACTGCTCATACTAGTACCGATAATAGTAGTACCGATACCCGCTGCAGCTGACACCAATTCACATCTCAGGTAACAATGATCACCTTTACTAATTAATATCAAGAGTAGTATATTGACCCAAGAGTAATGCCCTAATGAACTATACAAGAAGAAGAATTTTTACCTGTAGGGAACATGTTGAAGACACTAAGAATACGTGAAAAAAATAAAAATAAGATAATAAATGTTAAGAATGATGTAACAGGGAAATAGATGATAAACATGGTAATATGGTAAAAGGGGGAATATATTATAATCTTACTAATTGTGTTGGTTAGGTGTTGGAACTCATTAAGAAAGATGAAATAAGGTGAATCTCTTAACAGCTTTGGACCAGGAGTGTTTGGGTAGTGGTGATGATAACAGGAACAAAGCGGTGGTAATAACAGGAACACAGCGGTTATCAGCAGCGGTAACAGTACCCAGAAACAAGTAACAGCCAACGACGACACTGGCGATAGTATAAGAGGAACACCCTCGTCAGAAGCAACAGCCGGAGCATCAGCGTGGCTAAAACTGTTACTGTGTATAATGACGGTGATAGTAGCATGTGTCCCTTACAGCTGCAGGCGATGTGTGGGGGGAGGGTGTGTGTCTGTGTGTGTGTGTGGTCTGTGTGTGTGTGTGTGGGGTGTGTGTGTGTATGGTGGGGGTGTGTGTGTGTGTGTGTGTGTGTGTGTGTGTGTGTGTGTGTGTGTGCAACGCGACAGTGAGGGACATCCACCCTACCACCCACAGTTCTCAAGGCTCATTATTGATTGTAGCAGGTGCCCGTGAGGAGCTTATGAATACGTGTGTAATTAAGAGAAATGAAACAGTTTAAGCTGGTGGGAGGTGTGGCGCAGGCAGTGTTGCTCAGTTAAATCACGGGGGAGGGGCAGGGGGGGCAGGGGAGGCCGGGGAGGGGGAGCAGGGTGTGTTTAGGCAGCTGTTGTCGACCTTGTGCTGTTGTTACCCCCACCTCCCTCTCCCCCCACCCCTACCCCCCAGCCTGCTCTTGATTCATCGTCCAGCTGCAGCGACATAACAGTGGGGGGTGGAGGCTGTGACTGACGGACGGACGGACGAGTTTCCTTGTAAACGCGGTGGCTCCTGTGTGTGTGTGTGTGTGTGTGTGTGTGCAACCTTAAGAACAGCTTACTGACCTCCCTCCCCTCGCCCCTGCCACGCCCCACCGCCCACCCACCCCTCTGCCCCGCCTCGCCACGCCACGCCCCACCACCCCGGCCACGCCCCACCTCGCCCCACCTCGCCCCCCCCCCACGCCCCACCTCGCCACGCCCCACCCCACCTCGCCCTCCCCGCCCCCTCGCCACGCCCCACCACCACGCCCCACCTCACCACCCCACCCCTGCCACGCCCCACCCACCACGCCCCACCACCGCCTCGCCACGCCCCACCTCGCCTCACCTCGCCACCACGCCTCCCCCACCCACGCCACGCCCCACCCGCCCGCCCGCCACGCCCCACGCCCCACCTCACCCTGCCCTGCCACGCCACGCCCCACCACCCCCTCCACCACCTCGCCACACCCCACACCTCACCACGCCCCACCTCACCTCGCCACGCCTCACCACGCTCCGCCCTATATAACCTCTCCCCACTCACCGCCTTCCTATTTTTCCGCCACGTTACATACAGAAACCAGCTCACTCCTCCCCAACCAAGAACAATCTTTCTCCCCACACTCTACAGCTTTCTCCCCGTCTCGTCTCCTCTCCTCTCCTCTCCCCGTCTCCTCTCCCCGTGTTCTCCACAGCACTGTACATAAGAGCCAGATTTAGTGTGTCGCTTCACTGTGTTCATGTTCTGTGTTCTTCAGCCGATGACATACTGCCCTTCCTCACCCTCTACTCTCTCCCTCACACTACCTCCCTCTCTCCTCACACTCTCTCCTCAAGACTCTCTCCTCACACTCCTCTCCTCACACTCTCCCTCACTTCCTCTCTTCATCACACTCCTCCCTCATAATCTCTCTCCTCACACTCTCTCCCTCTCCTCACACTCCCTCTCCTCACACCCCCTCTCTCTCCCTCACACACTCTCCCTCATTGACTCTCTCTCCCTCACACTCTCTCCCTCACACTCCCCACACCTCTCTCCCCACTCTCTCCCCCTCACACCTCTCTCCCTCACTTCCTCTTCCTCACACCTCTCTCCCTCACTCTCTCCCTACCTCTCTCTCCCACACTCTCTCTCCCTCACTCTCTCTCCCTCACACTCCTCTCCCTCACATACTCTCTCCCTCACTCTCTCCCTCACACTCCCTCTCCCTCACTCTCTCTCCCTCACACTCCCTCTCCCTCACACTCCCTCACCCTCCTCCTCATGATCTCTACGTTGCGAAGGATAAGAGATGAGGTAACAAAGTCCCTCACAAGACGCCCTTAAGTGTAAGTGTGTGTGGAGTGCGTCTGTCAGGCCGTCTTAATAACTTATTTTATGCTAAATGTATTTGAATTATTTTTCCTGGGATGTCAAGAATGATGTAAATAGATTCATGTACACAATGATGTCACCCAGATTGTTGTAGGGTGACGTCTAGCCGTGTCTTTGTATGCTGACATCACCAAAGTCATTCTATTGTGATGTCATCAGGTGTTTGTGTAATGATCTCACCTAGTTATTGTATGGTGACGTCAACAGGTGTGTATAGTGGCTTCGTATGGTATGTGGATGGTGACTTCACTAGCTTTTTACTTCAGGACGTCATCTGTTCATCGTATTAGGATGTCACCTGGTAACTGTAGGTTGAAATACTCAGATATTTGCATGTTGACGTCACCAATTTATTGAATGTGACGTCACAATATTGTTGTAAACTGACGTCACCAAGTTATTGTACAGTACTATCATCAACCCATTGTATATTTATGTCAGATGATCATTGTATAGTGACATCACCAGGCCATTGAAAGATGATGTCACTACGTTATATATACTGACGTCACCATAACACTACATTACGACACTATTGGCTGATGTCACTTAGCAATTGAATGTGATGGCACCAGCTTACTTGTCAGGTGACGTCATCAAACTGGTGACTAATGGTGATCTATGTGGTGACTGAGTGTATGGTGAATGTGACATCACGCAGATTTTATACGGTGATGTAATAATAACTACGATGTCACTTATTGTATGGTGATTATGGTTATAATTTCTCTCGGTATGGTGATGGTGACACAGCCACTGTATGGTGATGGTATGGTGATTCTCATGGTGTGAATCAGTGTGGCTGTGTATGGTAGTTACATATTTACGTTACCAACAATAACAAATTAATTACGGTTCACATCATGGATAATTTAATTTTTCATTTATTTATTAATTTATTTATCCATATATGAGACATCCTCTAAATAATTCCATGTAATAAATCCATCTATGTACATATATATACCTCTCCCATTCATGTCTGTCTGTATGTATGTATGTATGTATGTATGTATGTAAGTATGTATGTCTGTCTGCACCATATACAGTAAATATATAAATAAAATATATAGATTCACCTCAAGTATTTCCACGCACCGCTTTGACCTGTTAGTTTAAGGTCACACAATCCTTGGCTCAATAAACTCTCAGTAATGGCGAATCAAAACGGCCAAAAAAAAAAAACCGAAAACAAAAATAAATATGAAGGAAAAAATCACAAAAGGTCTAAAAAAATATAAATGTCATAATTTTTGATCAGTTATTAGGTTTGTTTGTTTGTTTTTGTTTCTTTGTTTGTTACTTGCTCAGATTTTTTTTAAGTTAGGTTAGGTTAGGTTAGGTTAGGTTTTTGTGTTATTTTCAGGTTTTTTTTTCATTTTCCATAAATTTTCTGTCATTTCTCAATTATTTCCGGTCACTTTTCAACAAATTTCGATCAAAATTTCGATTAAGTTCGTGTATCAAGTTTCTGTTTAATGACTCAATACATTATTATTGTCACTTGGACATATTTAAACCTTCCACTCATTTAAGAACTGATAATTTACGGTATTCTTTCATTACAGGTTTCATTAACTTCCATACATTACCTGCATATGTTAATTTTTCTCATTATTTAAGGTCATTAACATATTGATATTAACAGTCAAAAATAATCTACAGGTTTGTTAATTATGTTAATATCTCCTAATTACCACCACCTGATTACCTGTGTTATTTAACTCTAATTAACCTTAACAGAGCTTCATTAACACCTGTGTATGTTATCTTTCTACCTGACCCTTGCGTTAAATTTGTCCCAATAAACAAACTTTAATTATATAAAAAAAATAATTGTTTTTTTTAATCTTTATCTCCGTCTGGATTAATTTAAGTGAGATAATTTATGCATAATTCCTCCTCTTATTATTTTTTTTATTTTATTTTTTTATTTTTAAGGGAAATATTTAACATTTATTGATATTTTTAACCCAGAGTTTACTATATAATGTTATTGACGATGATGATGATGATGATGATGATGATAATGATGATGATGATAATGATGGTTAATAAATATTATTATATATACGGATTATTTCATTATATTTAACCACCACGACCTGTTTAATCACCCTTCACCAGTATACTAGTTAATTATCATACTAACACAAACTAACATTATTCTCTTTTGGTTAATTACTCACGAGATCATAATTAAATCATTTATAATTATAGTGATTTTAAATATTACTATATGGCGTCATAGTGTATAATCCTAGCACCATATATAGCTCAGATTATACATAGACTCATTGGTCATGTATGAGTAATTATATACCATTAATTATTCAGTCGCCAAACTTCTATTAATTAATTTTATCTAAAGTCCTCAAACATACTACACCAAGGGATTTTGAGCCTTAAATCTAAATAGCCAGAAGGTCGAAAATGACAGCTATCATATCAAAATCTCATTCCCCAGACATACATATGAATCTAGGCGTTATGATCGATGGCCAGAAGAACGAAAATGGCATGTAATCGAGGTAAGTTTTCTCAGTTCGGGATACTAAGTGATTTTAAGCCTTATGTATTCTGGGTAGAAGGTCGAGAATGGCAAGTCTTCGCAGGAATGTCTAACAAGAGGCCTGATAATGGATTTTAGGTCTTGTGGATGGAGAGAAAAAGGTGGAGAATGGTTTAGGTGAGATGTAATGAATATAATTAGTGTTTTAATGCTAAATATGTTGTGATTCTGAGCCACCACCAAGACGACAGGTTTGGTTCACTACCGCCACCACACACACACACTTACACATACACACACACACACACACACACACACATACATACATAGATATTCTCACTTACACATACACACATATACATAGATACACTCACTCATACACACACACTTACACATACTCGTATTCTTCACAGACACACACACACACACACACACAGACACTTACACACACACACACACACACACACACACACACACACACAGACACACTTACACACACACACACACACACACACACACACACACACACACACACACACACACACACACACACACACTCACACACACACACACACTCACACACACACACACACAGACACACACAGACACACACACACACACACA